AGGAATGTTCCCTGCAGTCGGTGGGTCTAGAGTCAAGAAGAGGAGTCTGGTCAGCCAAATGTCAGACACACAGTCAGTGAGTTACAATGGGGGCGGGGGCGAGGGGAAGCCAATTCTCCCTCAGGAGATAAAAGACAACAGGCAAGGAGTTAGAGACAGAGCTTATGCTCTCTTACAAAAATCAAATGGATGGGTTTTTAAAAACCGCTTAAATCCATGATTCACAACAATATTTTAAAAATAAACAAGTTGGCCATCGCTGTAGAATTCTGGTGAACCAACAGATTAGCTGGAAAACTGGTACACGAAGGGAATCTTATTTGGCCTTTCCTAAAGGAACTGTCTCACTGGGATCCAAACAGCAGGGGAGGGGAAATATATCTCTATACAAGAATATTGGCTAAGAAATGAAGGACAGACTATCACAACCACTGATAACCTAAATCACTTAGACTCTGAGTATTGACAGCTGCTAACATCACAGAGAGGCAACCAAATACCGTGTGCTTCTTGATGTTAAGAGATGACCCTCTCCCCCGACATATTTTTTTAGCTAAAATAAATACACTTGAGCAAGCATCTAAAGCAAGTGTTGTCCAACAGAACTTTCTGCAATGACAGAAATGTTCTAATCTGTATTGTCTACTACAGTAACCGCTGATCTCACGTGGTTACTGAGCACCTGAAATGTGGCTCGTGCAACTGAGGGACTTAATTTTTAATTTTACTTAGTTTAAATTTAAACAGTCATGTGTGACTTTGGCTACCATGGTGGGCAGTGCAGCTACAGAACCAACTACCCATTTAGAGAAAACACAGAAGACCAAGGAGTGTTAGACTCCGTGGTGATGCATTCCTCAAAATCCAGACTGTTAGCAACACTCCAAGCAAATTACTCATCTCTTCAATAATTAACTTATAAGGACATGGAAAAGAGATGGAGGGAACGTGAACAAATTATAGAAGAAATGAAAAACATGTCAGTCGATTACATGTGTAGACATTGTGTGGTCCTGATTCAGCAAACTGAAAAAAATACAAATTTATAAGACAATCAGCAATGTAGGGCACCTTGGTGGCTCAGTGGGTTAATCCTCTGCCTTCGGCTCAGGTCATGATCCCAGGGTCCTGGGATGGAGCCCCATATAGGGCTCTCTGCTCAGCGGGGACCCTGCTTCCCCCCACCCCCCTGCCTGCCTCTCTGCCTACTTGTGACCTCTCTCTGTGTCCAATAAACAAATAAAATCTTAAAAAAAAAAAAAGACAATCAGCAATGTGAATACTGCTGTTAATGTGGGTGTGATCATGTATTTTGGCCTTTATCTATCAGAGGCACATTCTGAGGTATTACGGTTGAAATAATATGATAAATGAGATTTGCTTCAAAATCATGGGTCGGGGATGGGCGGGGGGTTGGATGGGCAGGAATGGCCATAGATTACTGGTTGTTGGGGCTGGGTGACAAATGATGGAAAGAAAGGAAAAAGACTACCACACGTTCCCACGTCCGGAACAACTTGAAGACTTGGACTACAGAGCCAGGTAAAAGACCAAAAATACTTTAGAAGGAATGCTACATTCAATTCCTTTTAAAGTACCCTTGGGAGAGGCCAAAGGAAGAGAACCAGAAGGGGAAAATGGGAGAAGACAGATTCACTTGCTACTCTACACTTGCACCTGGGTCCCACCAGCCACTGAGTCAGGAAGGAAAAATGTCTGTCAAGTAACTGATTTAAATTCAGAGTTACTTAGCTCCTGATAAACCTTCAAAGGAAGGGCAATGGTGGTCAGGATTCCTGGAGGTCTCTGCCCTGCAGCTGAAGTCCTGCGAATGGGGCCAACACAGAAGAGACGTAAAGCCACCTGGATCTGTCACTACCGCCCTCTTGGATACACATGATCTCTCCACCTCAATCTGTTTGGAAAATTACTGAATCCTTGGTAGTAAAGAGACAATTTTGCAAACTGCCCCGAGGCACACAGCCATAGGCAGATAGGCTGGAAAATGCCAGTTTCCTAACCAGCACCTGCAACTCCTTTCTAGATCCACTTACCAGCACAGCAGGATTGGCAAATCCCTTGTTCCCACTGTAGGCAACAAAACGTTGCACCTTATGGAAACCTGCCATACATCACTGTTTGCTAACTCCCTTGAGTTAGCGAACACGCTTGAAAGTGCTAGACACTCTGCACCCTCATTTCATCTAACTAATCCTTGTGAGAGGCCGATTCTATTGCTTTTCCATTTTACAGGTCAGGAAAACGAAGACTCAGGCCAGATAATGTGTTCCTAACACAGCTAGTGAGATGGACCCAACTGATGTCTTCCTTCTCAGGACCCTTCCAGAACCCCTCCTGTGCAGGAACATCTACCCCTCTCAGCTTGGCCCCTTCAGCATCTCACCCTGGCCCAGCTCCTCACCTTCTCCCACTCTTCTCTCTGACCCTACCAGGTCCATTTTCCATCTTCAGGGACCAGAACTTTGAGTACTTTACCTACTCAAGCTTCAGGCTCAGCCCATGCCCCTGCTCTAAAGCCTGCCTCTCCCTTCCCCACTGCCCTCAAATCCACACCAAGAAACCTTCCCTGGCTCAGAATTTATTACATCTTTGCTTGTGCTTTAGCATTCCTTTTGCTGGAACAGAATTATTAATTAATTGTGTCTTCCCACCAGCCCAGATAATTCTAGCTAGAGCTAATGGGCACCTACCACGTTCCCCTCTTCACTCACTTACTATGTTTACCACTCTTTAAGGTAGGTATCATTATTATTCCCATTTCACAGACAAGGAAACTGAGGCCCAGAGGGATTAGCCACTTACCCAATGTCAGGCAGCTAAAAAGTGACAAAGCCAGAGCCTAGGTGCTTAACCATTACTGTTAGATAATTCTAGAATACGAGGCAGGGAACATTTTTATCTCCTGGCTGCCCGGCACAGAGCAGGCACCCCATAATGTTAAATGGGACTTTGCCTCTCTCGGGGGCACTGGCTCAAACCTGCCCCTCCCCTAGTCCTGTGAGCCAACTGCTAGGTGAGTGCCTTTAAGTCATACAAACTCAGTCATTATGCATCACCAATGGGCCTCATCCTGGAGAAGCATTCCTTTTCTTCGGGTTAAGAAACTAATTTTTAAGAGAGCAGCGGGGTTTGTGTGGAACTCTAGAATTAAGCAATATGCTAAGTCACAAGCAATTTGGACAATCCTCTGAAACCGGCCAATACTACAGAGGATAATTCTGGAGGCTTGGAGCATCTTAATACCAACATGTCTCCTATTTTCAGATGGAGGCTGAGAGGGGAAAGGAATCTAAACATCCTTAGTAAACAAATGGAACTTATCCGGAAGTTGTGCGAAGGTTGCGGAGCTAACACTCTACCCCAGCCCCCAGCCCCAGCCCTGGGGGCAGCATGTAGGCAAGATCATAGAAATAATATTGTGGCTTATTTATTCCTTTAATCCAGGGCTCCAATGGCGATGTATGCCTGGGACAAGAGAGAGCTCCTAAAATACTGGTTAAGGGACTGGATCTTCCTCCCCTGCCACTTTCTCCCCAGGGTAATCTGGGAAATTGGGGGACGGAGGGGCAAACAGACTACATGCAATCCCAAAACAACGTTGCAATTGTCCTTCCAGGCCGGTGATAAATATGCAAGTGGGACACTTTGTAGAATTTCCTGGAGGGCAGAGTTACCAGCCTCAGGCAAACTGTCCCCTCCCACTTAACCCCATCGGGCCCACAAAGCCTCAGGCCGGCTGACTTTGAACCTCAGCGGCCCACTTAACACCAAGCAGCATGAGCCGTAGCAACCTTTAAAGACGTCTTTCCAGAGGATTTTGGCTCCAGCCACTAGCCTCAATTCATAACCAAATGCACCCTAGGCAGCCCCCAAGCCAAACCCCAGGAACCAGTAATATTCATAGGGAGGGATGGCCTCGCCCAGGAAAAGTAACCTAGTCTTACCCAATCCACAGCAAACACTAGAGTTCCTCCTCCCCATCCCCCCATCCCCCTCCTGGGCAGCAGGGCTGCAGGACCGCCCTGGCGCGCGCAAGAATTATCGCCCACCACCCAGGGCCTGGAGCCCGCAAAGTCCCACTAGGCTAGGAAATGGGGTCATGTGATTACTAAAACACCACTCTGAGACTCCAGCTGACTAAATCAGTGGAATGGGATTCCTTAATCTTGCGGGTAGCGGATACATTTGAGCAGGGGATCATGTAAATTCTACCCAGAAAAGCCAGATGAATGTCTCGATAAGATGTCGCCTACCATTCTAGAAGACTTGAGGTGGGAGGGAATGAAGAATGATAATGCGGGGTAACGAAAACTCCAAACCACTGGGGGCGGGGCACTGAGGCAATTTGCAGTTGAACCCCTTTATCCATCAATTTAATTCAGGAAGATTTGAGAGAGATGACAAATTTAAAGTGCCCACCACAGACCTCCGGTCTAACGGGCACTCCATAATTGTCAATGGGAATAGCTGTTACCGTGAGAGGTTCACTGTGTGCCAAACAGCCGCCACTGCCTCCAGAACGCAAGGAAGAGTGTGAAACTCAGAATTATAGCGCTAGGAATGCGCCGCAGAGAATGGAATTCCTGAGAGCCTGGATCCTTCCTTTCCGAACCCGGGAACCCCGACGGCCTGGTGATTCTTCAGGCTCTGCACACAGAATGGGGTACTAGAGGGCCGAAACTGGGCCTGGTTCTTTTAGGCAGTTCCAAGGCCACCCCCGCGGACCATGCCGGCTCAGGAGCCGGCCTCCAGGGCTTAGAGGCGCGGGCCGTTGGCTACCCAGCAGACAGGAGGACGCGCAGAGCCGCCCTGGCCGAGACCCAGAGGCAGGTGCAGGAGCCGCGCAGAGGGCGCGCTCGGTGCCCGGGTGCACGGGTGCCCGGGTGCGCCGGCGGGCGCGGCAGGGAGGGGCGCCGGCTCCCGGAGCCCGACGCCAGGGCGTGGTGCAGGTGGCGGCCGGGGCAGAGTCGACACCGTACCTTGATTTTCGACCTGGCGACCGGGCGCTGCATTACCGCCAGGTGTCCGCCCGGGCCCTCGGCGTCGCCGGGCTCGGAGATTTCGCGTTCGGGGGCGCGCGGGGACGAGCTGCTCTCGGCGCCTCCAGGCTCCCCCGCGCTGCTGCTGCCGCCGCTGCTGCTGCTGCTGCCGCCGTCGCTGCGGCAGTCCTCGGGGGGGTCGTGGAGCAGACGGTCCAGGCCCACTGCGGAGGGAGGGGCGGTGCCCCGACACAGACACGCGGCGTCAGGCCCGGGCGTCCGCGGCAGTTTGACCTGCGGGCGGTGCCGCCGCCGCCGCCCCGCCCTGGACCTGGGCACCTGGCCAAGTGGGCAACACGCGGGGGTGGACGAGCGAGTCCCCGGCTGGGCCTCCGGAGCGAGCACGGGATTTGGGGGGCGGCTCCTCGGTCCTAATCTCAGCGCCCACAAGGAACCGAGGGCCTTGGGTTGCTGCGGACCCCGCGCGCCAACTTCCCTCTCTCTGGGATAGGGGGTTAGGGGTCTGATCTCAACCCACCCAGCCCGAGGGGCTGACGGATCCTGGTGCAATCCCATGAGGACGTGGGACTAAGAGTAGCCCCTACTGGCCTTCGGTCTCCCCTCCTTCGGTTCACCTCGGCCCGCGCGGCAGCCAACGGTCCCGCCGCCGGGCAATTACTGGCGCCCACTAGGGGGAAGGGGGCGCAGGGCGTCCCGGGTTCCCAGCCTCTCACTCTCCGTCTTACCGCTCCTCAAGAAGCACCCCCCTCCCCGCCGCCCCGAGAGAGGCGGCAAGGGGTGGGGAGTCCAGGCCCGGCGGAGGAGCGGAGGGGACCCGACCACCCCTGCCCCCACTCCGGGAGTCCCGCGCCCAGGCCCGGCCCCCGCGCGGCGCTCACCTGGGATGTAGGTGTCTGCCCTTTCCTCATCCGGGAGCTCATCCCAGCTGCGGACGGAGACTCCCGGGCTCCTCCTCTTCACCAGGAAGACTTTGGGCATGGCGTGGCCCCCTCCCCGGCCGGCGGCCCCCTCCTCCCGGCTGCTCCCCGCTAGAAACTGCGGCAGGGACTCGATCCCCGGCTCCCGGCGGCCAGAGCCCACCTTCCCGCCTATCCTGCCCTCTCCCTCCGCCCCCCGCCGCGGCGCGGCCCAGGCCTCTCCCCCGCACACCCGGCGACTCCCAGCCTCCAGGCTCCGCGACACCTATGCCTTAAATCGCGGGTGAGACCACGCCGAGGAAAAAGTTTCATAAGGTGGAATAGAAAAGGCACCAGGAAACTTGGGAGTGAGCATGCGCCCTGCAACATAACGGTGTCAACAAGCTCGCTACCTGTCCGACCGGTTCCGGCGGCCGGGGCTGCCTGTTTCAGCCCTTCCTTAGGCATGAATGTTTGCAAAAGAATTTAACGTCTGATTCTCCCCCCCCCTCCCCTTTTTAAAAAGGGAAGAACATTTTTTAATCAACCTCTCGCCCCAGTCCCCATCACATGCATCTCAGGGCAAACTCTTAGAGGTAAGCCCCCAGGTCTGCTTCCCCGCGCATCCATCCTAAGAGTTGGAGCTTCCTGCGAGATGCACCCCCCCTCCCCACCCCCAGGTGGATTGTCTCCGACAGGCAAGCAAGAAAATGGCTCAGTTCCTTCGGTCTTGGTGGATGGTTGCCGCGGCTAGTTGAAATCTCGGCGGGCGGAAGGTGGAGGCGGCGGGGAGACTGCAGGGCTCATCTCGTAAGGCGGGGGCGACTTGGGGGCTTAGGCTCCCCATCATTTACAACAGTCCCCCAAATAAACACGGTAATAATATAATTTAAAGTTCGGCAGCTTTAGACCACGTCATTATTGATTTGTGCCGTACAATCTAGGAAAAACAAGTCGGCTAGCTCTGCTAAAGCAGCTTCCACTCCAAGACCTACCGCTCCAAGAGCCCCATCAACCCAGATAAACACACAATGGAAACAAAAGCCAAGCGCATGTTATGCAAACGCGGCTTCATAACAAATTTCTTATCCTTGCCCACTCCCATTATGGTCTCCCTCCAACCGCCCGCTCCCCAAATTCTGAGGTTGGGAAACACGTTTCCCAGCAAAGTGAAGTCGGCTGCTACTGGGGAGTTGGCTGGAGAGCTTTGTATTTATTTTTGGTTTTGGCTTTTCCTCTCTGCCTTTATACCTGGAGGGAGAGTTGGGAGAGAAGGAAGAGGAGTTGGTAAGAGAAAGATGCCAAGTTTCTAAGAGCAGCAGTGCCGGCATTTGGGGAGCGCGCGCTGTCCCTCTCACGGCCGCTGCTCGGGTGCCCCCGGGGACGCGCAGCAGTGCCTCCACGGCTGCGGTGGGAGCACTCCTGTGGGTAATCAGACTTGCGCGGGCTCCCGGGGCTGTGCAGGGGCGCGTCTAGCCCGGAGCTCCCTGGCGCCCGCAGCTCGCCCATCCGCCAGACTCACCTGTCTGTAACCTGACCCGCTGCGCGCCCAGCCCAGAGGGCTGAGGAATCAACACAGCGGTTTTCCCCCGTCCTCTTCCGCCCTGGAATGGCCCTTGGGGACACAGCAGCCTGGTAACGGATTTCTCGGCTCGGCTGGAGTACTCTCCCCGCGCACGGAGAGGGGGCGCAGCTCTCCTGGGTCTGAGGAGCGAGGAGACGCGCCATGCCTCGGGGTCTGCCCTCAAGAGGTCACCCTCTCCTGGCTCAAGCCTGTCTGGACTCCAGATTTTCTGAGAACAATCAACTAAGGACGAAAGAGACTTTGATCCGGTTAAGCCCGGAGTGGAGAAGGAAGACATTTCTATAGCGGCACGAGGAAACGAGGCTTCTTTTTAGTGCATGAAGCTGATGGCGCCGCTTCTGGGAGAATCTGAAAATGTATTTTTATCTACCAACAAACGAAGATTTTCTAGAAAGGAGCTTGGTTGAATGAAAGTAAAATAAAGTAAAACTATGAAATCACAGAATGACCTCTATCTCATAAAAATCTTTAAAACTTCCCTTAGTTCAAAATTCCTTCTATTGCGAAAAAGGCGGCCAACCCCATTAACAGATTTTTTTTTCTTTTATTGAGTTTCAAATCAATAAGTGCCTGAACCTGCTTGCTCTCTCTCCCTTTCTCTCTCTGACAAATAATAAAAATAAAAAAAAATAAAAAAAAAAAAATGGGACGCCTGGGTGGCTCAGTTGGTTAAGCAGCTGCCTTCAGCTCAGGTCATGATCCCAGCGTTCTGGGATCGAGTCCCGCATCGGGCTCCTTGCTCATCAGGGAGCCTGCTTCTCCCTCTGCCTCTGCCTGCCATTCTGTCTGCCTGTGCTTGCTCTCTCTCCCTCTCTCTCTCTGACAAATAATAAAAATTAAAAAAAAAAAAAAATAAGTGCCTGAACCACTTTGTCCTTTATCTGAAAAGAATATAAAATGACAGATTATAAGACTAGAAACTTCAAGAAGCAGTGCATCGTTCACCAGATTGGGGATGAAAATTAACAGGAATAACTACACTTTTTTTCAAGGATTGTTGGATGCACACTTACTATGATATTTGAGGACTGTTTCTTCGGGGGGAAAGGAATTCTAATGTGCTATCTTCCTCTCTCTTTTCTTGATCGGACTTGAGAGGGATTTATCAATATTATTAACATTTTCAATGTTTTGCTTTTGTTGGCTCTTCTTTATTTTATGATTAATTTTCTAAGTATTATGAATAGAGCATCCCCTAAAAGTAGAATAAGAAATAAGCTCAATTTTTTAAAAATCTCAAAGCTGGTATTTGAGAGAGGCAGAAGTCTTGATCTGACCCACACCCTGCCCCCCATCTCTCCCCTGGGAGGACAGGGTGACCCTCCATAGAGTCCTTAGTAGGTGTGTGTGTCCTGCCCTGCTTGAATGCTTAAGTGCTGGGAGCTCGCTTTTTCAAAAAGCAGTCTATTCTGGTTAGGTGACAATATTGTTAGAAAGCTTTTCCTTCTGCTTTATGGAAGTCTGTTTCCCTGCAATTCCATCTCTCCTCTGCATTCTGCCCTCTCCCGAAGCTGAGACAATGCCTGTGCCTCCCCCCCCACCCCCCAACCCCCTCCGTAGTTCTTCAAATGCATGGAAACAGGCATGGGAGTTCTCACTTAAGACCTCTTTTCTCCAGTAATATGTAGTCAGGTTGAAAATAGACAGGTACGAACCTGCTCAGTGGGATCCTTAGAGGATAAAGAGAGGTTAGGATGATGGGGAAATGGATGATGGGGGAAAATTTTTTTTTTTTACTTTTTACCAAAGTATAACATAGTGTTTTAAAAAAATGCACAAATCATAAGTTACATGGCTTGATCCATTTTTACAAAAAAAAAATTCTAGCAGACAGCACCCCAGAATGAGACCAAGCTGCCTACTCTCACCACTCCACATCATGTGACATCAGCTTTTTGTGGGTACAGTAAGGCAGAGAAGAAGAAATAAAGGTATAAGGATCATAAAGAAAAAAAGCAAAACTATCATTATTTGTAATCAGGATATTAGCTATGTGGAGAAGAATCTACAGATAAATGTCTAGAATTAATAAAGTTTAGTAAAGTTGTTTTATAGAAAAATCTCGATGTGTGTCAATTGCAATTCTAAACGTCAATAACACTTAGAAATCTACCCAGAGTCATCTGTGGATTTAATACTTGAAGAAAAGATCTTTTTGTGAGAATAACAAACTTGTTCTAAGCTTGTAACCAAAACATTCCTGAAGAACAAGGCATATAGATTCATTCTATCAGATATCAGTGCAGAGTAGAGAGCCCATGTGGACTTTTGATTTATGAGATAGGGCATTTCAGAAAGATGGGAAATGGGACTGACTGGTAATGCATTTGGAGGAAAAAAAATAAAGGAAATTGAATAATGCACACACATATGGTCGATTTCCAGTGGATTAAACATTTAAATGTGTACGTGCATACATATGCATAGATGAATAGATAATGGAGAATATCTTTATGACCATAAGATAGAGTAGAATCTTATTTATTTATTTATTTATTTTTCCTATTGAAGTATAGTTGACACACAATGGAGCAGAATTTCTTTTTTCTTTTTTTAAATTTTATTTTATTTTATTTAAATTCAATTACTGTTAGCTTCAGAGGTAGAGTTCTGTGATTCATCAGTTGTATATAGCACCCAGTGCTCATTACATCACATGCCCTCCTTAATGCCCATCACTGAGTTACCCTATCCCCCCACCCTGGAGCAGAATTTCTTAAAACACAAAGAACAAACCATTAAAGAAAATATCTGATAAATATGACTGCAGAAAAATTAAGAATGACTATTAATTAATCAAAAGACACAGTAAAGAGAATGAGAAACTAAATCGAAAGTTGAGAGAAATTTTGCAATACATTTACCTTATAAATCATCAGAATTCTGGTGATATAAAGAATTCAAATGTTAGAAAAAGAAACATAATTTTAGGTCCGGGTGGCTCATCGGGTTAAGTCTCTGCCTTCTGCTCAGGTCGTGATCTCTGAATCCTGGGATTGAATTGGGCTCTTTGCTCAGCAGGGAGCCTGCTTCCCCCTCCCTCTCAGCCTACTTGTGATCTCTCTCTCTCTGTGTCAAATAAATAAAGAAAATCTTTTTTTTTTTTTTAAAGATTTTATTTATTTATTTGTCAGAGAGAGAGAGAGAGT